CTTATTAGACCTAAAACAGGATTTTATTGGAATGTATCTTTTATTGGGATGATTGGGGCTTCTAAAAAATGAGTACATGTATCCATAGATAAATATCTCACTCTTGAGTATTATCTGTTTTCTTTTTTCATTTTTCACTGAGAAAACTTTTTGGTCTTTTAATTAAATAGATGGGAGTAGAAGTTTTGTCACAGTAATTTTATAAAAGTTCTTTAAAGTCTTGACATACATGCCAAACATCATAGGGGGATTATCTCAGAAATTGTTTTAAATGATTTATCAGCCCACATTTATTGGGACCTCATTGAGAGCAATGAATTGGAAACCACTGGACATGGAAAAAGGTTTGTTACCTGGCTGTTAGAATACATGTGTTTGCTGGCCCCAAAGACTTTTTATAACCTGTGACATACATCTTGAGTACTAGTGAGGGATGGGTGAGGTTTTCTTTTCTTTTGTAAAGGGGAAAGGCCAAAATGAAAAAGGAGGCTTGAATGCTGGCTTGTCTTCAGGCAGATCCTAGAAAAGAGGACAAAAGGAAGGTGAAGATTTGCAAATTGATTTTCTCAAATTCATTTATGGCTCTGACTCTATACTTTTAGGAAGCTTTCTAAAGCCCACTCCCTGCCCTGTAGCTATTTCTGTGTACTTGCATCAGTGAATGTGCTAAGGGTTTTCTTGGCTTCATGACTTTATGGTTGGTGACTCCTTTACCTGGATATTCCATTTCCCTCCCAGTCTGTCAAACTCATAGCTCTTTCAGGGCTCAGTTCTGTGTCACCTCTTTTGTGAAGAAAGGATAGGGAACCTGCAGTCTCAAGGCACCATATGTGGCCCTGCAGATACCCAACTGCAGCCTGTTGACCGAATCCAAACTTCACAGAACAAATCCTTTATGCAAAATTTGGATTTAGTCAGGCCCTGTCTCATCGTCATTAATTACTTATGCACTATCTGGCACAGAGTAGGTCTAGCCTGGTGAATGAATGAATGAGTGCTTTCAGCAATGGCATATTCTATTCTTGGTTTATATTTTTGTACTTTTTTTTAGCTTTTGTTGTATAAAATCTAGATGATTATGAAATTCTGGGAACAAACATTAAAATTCATAAATATTAAGGGAATCATCACTTCATATAAGGTATATTTTGTCAAAATATTTTGAAAAGATGTTATATGAAATCTAGTATAATATGCTCTGAAAGATTTATTGAAAGATTATTTTAGAATAATAGCATAGAGGAATTGGTAATTAAGATCATGCTTTAGAGGATATATGGCTTCATCCCACTCCTGTACATTTACTGTTTTCATCTTAATTTTTTTTTAAGGGATGGCATGCATGTAGCAGTGAAAATCGTAAAAAATGTAGGCCGTTACCGTGAAGCAGCTCGTTCAGAAATCCAAGTGTTAGAGCATTTAAATAGTACTGATCCCAACAGTGTCTTGTAAGTATAAATTTGAACTGTGAAGCATCATATTACATGAAATAATTAGGATTCTGTGAACTGAATTATTATTTTGATCTATTTTAGCCGATGTGTCCAGATGCTAGAATGGTTTGATCATCATGGTCATGTTTGTATTGTGTTTGAACTGCTGGGACTTAGTACCTATGATTTCATTAAAGAAAACAGCTTTCTGCCATTTCAGATTGACCACATCAGGCAGATGGCATATCAGATCTGCCAATCAATAAATTGTAAGTATACTTGGTAAATCTTTAAACACTAGAAAATTTAAGTTTTTATTATACAAGCAACATATCAACACATTGTCACTAAAAATATATATTTTACAGGTAAAGATGAAACCTCTCTTGGCCACTGTATCCACTGCTAATCTTCCTTTCCCTGCCAGACAAATTAAATTTGCAAGTGAAACTAATAATGTCTTTTTGTTCTCTTATAGTTTTGCATCATAATAAATTAACCCATACAGATTTGAAGCCTGAAAACATTTTATTTGTGAAGTCTGACTATGTAGTCAAATATAATTCTAAAATGGTAAGTTAAAGACTTGTTTTAATTTTGGTGGTTGTCTTTAAAATTAATTTGTTGATCCGTAGATGAATTTCACTTCTGAGCCTCATTGTATCTTAATATTTAACCAAAAAAGGAGTAATCCTTTGCCTTTCTCCCAGGCTTATGTTAACAGTCCAAAAAAATAGTTCATATGCAAGCCTTTTGAATAGTGCTATAAAATATTTCATATCCTTAGTGAGTTTCATATTCACTCAACTGTATCTCTTTAGAAACGTGATGAACGCACACTGAAAAGCACAGATATCAAAGTTGTTGACTTTGGAAGTGCAACGTATGATGATGAACATCATAGTACTTTGGTATCTACACGGCACTACAGAGCTCCAGAGGTCATTTTGGGTCAGTAGGCACTGGACTTTCAGTTGTTGTAATTGAAGAAGAGATTGTTGTTCTTACAGCTTTTATTGGGAGTGGTGACAGGTAGCATCTTCTTAGCAGTGTTTAGAAAACGTTTTCTGTTTTCATAAAAAATGTGTGGACATTGCTATAAATATTTTTCCTTAGTGGTAAAAATGTGATACCATCTTGAAAGATATTCCAGGTGGTGGTTATTTTTGAACAAGTTAGTCTTAAATGATCATGAGAGAACAGGCTCTGTTAGCTAAGTACATCACACCAATGTGATTTTGAAGTTATGTGGATACCTATTTTCATGTCATCACAAAAGTATGGTGCTAGTGAGAATGCTGGTTGGCGGTTGGTTGGCAGCCATCTAGATATAGGGTGGATAAAGGTCAAGAAAAGAGGGGCTTCTTTAAGAGGAACTTTTGTGATAACCCTTGATGTGAGAAAGGCTGGGAAAGAAAATGCGTTAAGGTGCAGAGTTTTAAAATAAGAAGGAACTCAAAGGGAATGTGCATCTTATGCCTCAAAATTAAAAGTTAGAGATCAGGACATGTTAATAGAGCAGGGAAGTCAGGTGGGTTTGTGGGCTTGGAGACAGTGGGAAAAGTTCAGGTCAGGTGCTGTTGAGAGAGTTAAATGGAATAAGCTGATTACAAAAGTAGGGTCAAACTGAGGTTAGATAGTAAAATGTTTTTGTGGAATCAGATGTTTCCTCCACTTCCTTTTTTTTTTTAAGTTCAGCAAGACTTGGTAGGTTCAGAAAAAGCAAACTAATGATATTTACCTAGAGTAGAGGATTGGTAAAGGGGTAAGAAAATAGAGAATGTTATGCAGCACTGGTCAATAGAACTTTCCTCAATGATGGGAATATTCCGTATCTGGCCTACCCAGTATGGTAGGCCACTAGCCACAGTGGGCACCTGAGTTCCTGTAGTGTGGCCGGTGTGACTGAGGAACTGAATTTTGAATTTTACATTACTTTAAATTTTAGGTAAATGTTCAATATAAAACTGAAAATATAAACCCTGAATTTGTTGTCATGTTCTCCCTAATGGTCTATGTAAAGGGAGCACCCATATAGGAAAGGATTTAGTGTGTTGCCAGTTAAAAGTTGTTGCATAGTAAAATGTTTGTATTTGTTTTTAAATAGCTTTAGGTTGGTCTCAGCCTTGTGATGTTTGGAGCATTGGTTGCATTCTCATTGAATATTACCTTGGTTTCACAGTCTTTCAGGTATGTGTCTAGTAAATTTCAATTAATGATGATGAATTTTAAATGTTAAAGGCATGTTTAAGTTTTGGCTTCCTTATCGGAAAGCTGCCATAGATCATTATTCTTGAGATAATGATTATCCTTCTCTAAAGCCATAGTTGAATGAAATGCTACTAGTCATAGTTCATTTTGCATGTGATTGGCATTTTTAACACCTGTTTTCATGTGTGGTTTCTATTGTCACATGTTTTCATTTCTTTAGTTATAGAGCTACTTCATAAGTTTGCGTTAGTGTTAATGGCAATTCTAATTCAGTTCTGGTTATGTTGATTATCTGTATGGCCATGAACAAGTCACTTACTCCTCTTTACAAAAGAGTTAAGGAACAAGAAGTTATATTTTACTTAATACTTGTAAGTATTAAGCATCTATGATGCCTTAGGCATTTCTGAGCACCAAGTATATTAAGGTAAAAGGACAACATCTCTGTCCTCAAGTCATGCAAAAGACATGAGAAAGCTATTGCAGTGCAGTGTGATATTAGCTGTAATGGAACGATGTACAAAGTGTAGGTAGGAGGAACCCAGGAAAGGTTAAAAATTATATTTCTTTAGAGAAAGCACTACCGAGGAGGTTAGGGAGTTGAAGCCAATGCTAGAAGGAAGAATAGGGCTGGGCGCAGTGGCTCACACCTATAATCCTAGCACTGTGGGAGGCCAAGCGCAGAAGATCGCTTGAGGTCAGGAGCTTGAGACCAGCCTGAGCAAGAGCGAGATCCCATCTCTACAAAAAATAGGAAAATATAGCTGGGCGTGATAGCGTGTGCCTGTAGTCCCAGCTAATCAAGGGGCTAAGGCAGGAGGATCGCTTGAGCCCAGGAGTTTGAGGTTGCAGTGTGCTGTGATGACGCCACTGCTCTACAGCCAGGGCAACAGAGCAAGATCCTGTCTCAAAGGAAAAAAAAAAAAAAAAAGGAAGAATAGGAGTTTATCAGAAAACTGTAGTATGATGGGCGTATAAGGAAGAAGAAATAGTATCTAAACGCACAGAGGAGTAAAGGAACGTATTGTAGTCAGGGAAGAATCGTGTTGTGTCAGAATTATCTTGTGTACAAGGGAAAATGATGACAATAGGCAAGGGCTGACCAATAAAGGACTTCACATACTTTGAAAGGTATTAAAATGTTTTATTTTAGAAGTCAGTAGTTTCCAAAAGTAGATGAAGATGATTTTGTAGGGTTGCCATTCTGACCTTTATTTAGAGATTATCCCTCCTTTTTTTGTATTAAAATGTTCTTTTTATGAAGTGATAGTAATAGTTATTAGTAGATAGCTTTTTAAAAGTCCTGGCCAGGTACAGTGGGTTTGGGAGGAAGGGGTTGTGGAAATCCCAGCTCGGTATTGTTGAGACTGATCTGCAGTTACAGCAGTGCAGGGGGGATGAAGCTATTTGTGATAAATTGAGTCACTTAGGTGGCTATTGCACAATTACGAGTTTGCTGCTTGTAGGGCACCTCACAAGACTCGAGTTTCTATCTTATCTGTAGAGATCCTATTAAAAAGTACTCCGAGTTTATAGACAAGCTGAGTGCTTTAGAACCGTGATTATCAGTTAGTTCTAGGAAGGGGTAGTGTCTGTTTCTATTAGTTGTAGGGTAAGAAAAAGTTAATCAGAGTGCAAGCTTTCTTCATTCTGACTTATGTAAAATGGATGCTTCAAATGATTTTTGTGATTGTAAATCACTTTGAGGTCTTAAATGAAGCGCAGACTATTTAAGAGGCGGTTTATATTTTAATTCCATACTGCAAAATATTCTGAAACTAAGGAACTTTTTAAAAATGTGGAGCTAGTATTATTTATTCCTGTCATGAATTAATAACAATGTTTTGAAAGCAATATGCAGGGCACAATAGTTGATATTAATAGATTTTACAAAGCAGTTACACACAGCCTCTGCTCTCCAGAACTAGGGTTAGCAAACTTTGGCCCATGGTGAAATCCTGCCTAATGCCTGTTTTTACTAAAAGAAGAATATGCAACAGAAACCATTTGTGACCAGCCAAGCCTAAGCTATTTACTATCTGGCCTTTTTCCAAAAAAGTTTGCCAGTCTCTGCTCTAGAAGCATACCATTTCAGCTGTTAAGTTTGACAGTTTTCTCTATTCTGTTAAATATTTTAGCCAAGCCAAAGCTCTATTACTATATAGTTTAAGGATTATGAGCTTTAACTTGAGTTTATAGCTCAACTTTTCTTATTTATGACTTACATGACTTTGAGCTAATATTTTAACCTCTTTGACACTCACGTGCTCACATAGCTGGCTCGGGATTGTTGTGAGAATTAGTGGGACTGTGTACTTTTATTGCTTGGGATTAGTAAGTGTTAATAAGTGGACCGATTGTTGGGAGGTTAATTTTGGTTAAGCAGCTGATTAAATGAGGAGGAAACGGTTTTTCTGGTAGTCTTCCCCAGACATCGTCAGTTAAAACAGTGTAAGAAATACAAATAAACAAGGAAACTGCTTGGTTTTAGATTTTACCAATTCATCTTAGAGACTGTGTTGCACCAAACAACACAGCTCATTTGGTATTGTTCCGTCTTTGAAGTATGGTGTAATGTAAATTGTATAGCTGTCTGATCCTTTTATATTGGCACCATTTTCTTGAGTTCCCTTTGAATGTGCTTATAGGAAAATGGAGTGTGCTAAATTTCTTTTTCTGTGCATTTTAGACTCACGATAGTAAAGAGCACCTGGCAATGATGGAACGAATATTAGGACCCCTACCACCACACATGATCCAGAAAACAAGGTGTGTCTTAAGATGTTTTAAGCCCTTTATATTGGGTACATGCAATAGCCTATATTCAAACTACAGAAAACCCAACATTGTTACAATGCATGTTCCAAGGACTGCAGATGTTGAAATTTTTTTATGTATTAGAGATAACTTAAACTGCCTGTGTCTTACCCTTTTTTTAAAGTCATATTTTTAAAAATTCAGCATTTAACTTGTGATCTAGTAAACAAAATGATTTTTTTTGATACTATAGTTTACCTTTGCATGAATGCTTTCTTACGTTGATGTATAAATAATAACATAGAATATGAAAAAGCTTGTTTTTTGGAGTCATATCAGTCTAAGTTTGAAATGTGTACTGTCACTAACCAGCATGTATGTCCTTGGACAAGGTATTATTTCCAAACGCAGCCTCACTGCAGAAGTCACCAGGGAGTTATTTAAAGATTTCCAGACCTATTCCAGATCTAGTGAAATCAGAATTTACAGGAATGCATGCAGGAGGCCTCTATTTTTAAAGCTGGCATTGTTCCATCTATGGTATCTGGAAACAACTTAGTTGGGATATTAAAACCTCACAGGATGGAAAATAGAGGAAGTGTTATATAAGGTGTCTGCTATATAGTTGCTGCTGAGATTTTTAAAAATTATATGCATATGTCTGTACATCTAGAGAGAGCTGCTTATGCTTCTATCTATCTGTCTCTCATCCCATGGTTGGGGCAGGGTGAAAATGTGGATCTTTTGTTATTTTACTAATCCAGACTTCTTTTTCCTGTAGAAAACGCAAGTATTTTCACCATAACCAGCTAGATTGGGATGAACATAGTTCTGCTGGTAGATATGTTAGGAGACGCTGCAAACCATTAAAGGTAA